TGAAGAGGGTCTAGGCCCGAAACGTCAGCCTTCCCGCTCCTCTGATGCTGCTTGGCCTGCTGTGATCATCCAGCTCTACACCTTGTTATCTCAGATTCTCCAGCGTCTCCAGAGATAGTAGATAGTTCCTACTATCTCTGACCACAATCTAATAAATAAGTACCTATCATTGCCAGAAGTTCTATATATGAAAATCACAAAATCTACAACAGCAAAGCTGGAGATCTTTAGAACCATTACCTGAGCCCCACATCAAACGCTTCCTTGCTCTTCGTAATGGAATTTGAAACAGCTCACTATCAAGGTGCTAAGGGCCTCAATATTGATGAAACTGACTTGAAATGTCTTCTTAGTAAAGGTTATTGGAAATGCAATTTGGATCATTTGCATGTTATGGTACAAATCTTGCAGATGCCTTTATGGTAATTTGAAATATTAGCAAATGTTTTAGCACACTTATATAAAACTCTTCAATGATTGTGTAACGAATTCCACATAGTACAATTTCAAGACAGAAGATTTAAAATGTAAGCGGATACAACCAAAATAGTAGTAATAACACTGGCTGGTATTGTCTTTTGCCCTTCGACAACATCCAGGGGAGATTCATGGCAGTGTATAAACGAAACGTAGGACCCAAAGTTGGTAAGCTACATAGACAAGTGAAAGATGAGGCATTACTGAGTCAAAGGAAGAGATTTTAAACCCCTTCCCTTCTGCCTTGACTCAGGTACGAGGGCAAGGCGTAGAGATCATAGATCATAGAATCCCTACAGTGCGCAAACAGGCGCATCAGCCCAGAAAGTCCACACCGACCATCCAAAGAGCATCGCCCAACCCCTTTTCCCTGTAACCCTCCTAATCTACTCATCCCAGAACACTCTGGGAAATTTAGCATGGTCAATCCACCTATTCTGCACATCTTTGGACTGTGGGAGGAAACCACAGTACCCGGCGAAAACCCAGGGATAATGCGCAAACTCTACGAACAGTCGCCTGAGGCGGGAATCGAAACCAGGTCCCTAGCGCTGTGAGGCAGCACTGCTAACCACTGTGCCACCCCAAAATATGAATTTGTAGTGACGAGTTTTCTGGAGTTTGAGTGATAACTCATCCAGCACGAAGTCGTTTAAAATCTGCAAGTTGAGGAAACGTAGTCGGCAGGATTCGAACCCGCGCAGGGAAACCCCAGTGGATTTCGAATCCATCGCCTAAACCATTCAGCCACGACTGAAAAATTCATATTTTTGTAGCCCATGTCAACCCTCCTATTCTGACACGAATCTTTCATTTTAACATCTAAATAAGATTTCATGCCTTAAGTTTAACCACAATTTACTATTAATCCCTATGGGCCTGGAAGACACAGCAGCCAAAAGGGTGAGGGTTAGGGTTAGGGAAGGGGAAATAGCATCTAAGCTAAGATTCCATTCTAACAGCACCAGCTGACTGCAAAGAAACTCCTTAACTCTTAGCCCTACTTAAAGGGTCTATCGCCCTTTACATTTTGCTTGCTGATGCAGGTTTGAAGAAGACATTTTAAATATATTAGGAGATGTCTGGGACAACCTTTCTCGAGACATCCCCAGTGCTCAATCAACAGTTATTATAGAGTCATACAATACAGAAACAGCCCTTCAGTCCAGCTTGTCCGTGCCGACCACACATCCCAATCTGATCTAGTCCCATTTGCCAGCATTTGGCCCATATCCCTCTAAATCCTTCTTATTCATAAACCCATTCAGGTGCCTTTTAAATGTTGTAATTGTACCGCTGCTATCACTTCGTCTGGCAGCAGACTCAATAAACGCACCACCCTCTGCCTGACAAAATTACCCCTCAGGTCCTTTTTGAATCTTTTTCCTCTCACCTTAAACCAATGCCCTCTAGTTTTGGACTCCGCCACCCTAGGAAAAAAGACCTTGGCTATTCACCCTGTCCATGCCCCTCATGATTTTATCAACATCTTTTCTGGAAATTCTATGAGGACGTAATAAACTAAATGTTGAGCTACTGTACCTTAATGGACAACGTATGGGGTTCACCTGAAAAAAGTGAATACCTGGTTGCTGATATATTACTAGGGTACCTCCTTAGTGTGCAGCAGGATTGCAAGGATGAAATGAACCAAGCAATACCAGTTAGGAAAGAGGGACAGGAGGAGCAGAATGAACCCTGTGCACTCAGCAGGTCTAAGACATCGCTTCTCCATCGGAACATGCAGCTGTCAACTAATAACAACTTCAGACACTTTGTTGGGACAGGCTACTGCAAGAGAGTTATACTACCTGATGAATGAACATTCCAAAACAAACAATGCTGTCTCCTTCTCACAGACACATAATAAAGCTTTTAAACAGCTACATCTTTTTGGAGAAAGAGGCTATAAATGCATCTTTGTTAAATTCTTTACCCCACAATTGACTAATTTCCAGATAAAACAGGCAACTGCAGCCTTACTTTCCTGGCTGTGGTAAAAACTGAACAATAAAGTGAGTTTCCCCACGCAGCTTCTCATTGCTAGCCTGTGGCCAGGCACAGTTTCTGCTAATGCAAAGTGATCTGAGAAGAAAGGAAACTCAAAGAGCTGCATTTATATGGCTCCAAGCCATGCTTGAGTATATTCAGCCAAGCAGCTTTTCTCCCAGTCAGTTTTTTTAAATTGTAAATTGAAGTAGGTTAATAGTGCTGTTAAAATTGATGTACCCCAACATACCAAAATCAACCTCAAAAGTAAAGCACAACCAACACTGACTTACATTTATATTCTGTATTTTAACATTAAGAACATCACATGGAGAACTAATTTTTTTTCAAACACATTAGTGAAAAGATCTACAGAGGAATTACAGAGAACAGGATTTGGTAGTTAGAGGCTTTATCCATAATGATGAGTTGAATGCAGGTGATGCAGAAAAAAATACAAAGATACTGGGAGCTTGGGAAGGATATGGAGCTGGAAAAGGTTACAAGCCAGGGTACAGTGTGGAGAACCTTAAAGACGAGGGCAAGAATTTCAACTGCAATGCATTTGAGGGTACAGAATGCTAGTGAAGATCTGCGAGAGCAGTGTCACTGCGGAACTTGGAGCACAACAAAACGCATGCAACAAAGTTCAGGAAAAATTGGAATTTAGAGATTCAGAGAAGGGCTGCAAGTTAGATGCTGGATTAGTGAGGTCTGGAGACAATGGAGGAATGTGTAATGGTTTCAAAATGGATAGGAACAATGCAGGTGCAGAGGCAGGCAATGTTCCTTTCCTAGATATATTGATGTTGTGATGAAAAATATGAGAGTTTGAATTCAGCTAAGGTCAAATAATATGCGAAAGTTTCAAAGAGTCTTCCCAGTCTAGGTCTATTGGCAAATGATAGGAAACCATTGATGACAAAAGAATGGAATATGTAGTGGAGTTAAGTGTTTGCAATAGGGGCTGAAGGAAACAGCTATGGCCTTCCTCATGTTGAGCTGAAGTCCAGATATTTGCTAAACTATATGAAATGAGAGAGGCAATTGAGGACAAAGGGGAGTGATAGAGAGAGAACTGGGTGCCATTATCATGCATATGAATATGAAGGAAGAGAAGGAGGAATCATATGTAATAAATTCAAGAAGAGGTCTTGATATCAATATGTTTTTTGTTTCTGTCTTACATATCCTTTGTGAATGCCTTTCTTTCAGACACAAATGAATTTACACCTTAAAAAGAACCAATTTAACCAGCCTTTCTTGAATTCACAAGAAGAGTTTACTACAGTTTGGATGAAGAAATCATAGTTGATCTAATTTTTCAAGTACTAACATTTGATCTTCCCACAACACCTTTAACATCTATCTGTGTGAGCCCTTGATGTGAAATCTTGTTTCTGTCAATCCAATGTCCTTTTTTTAGTGCATTGTTATGACTATTTGCATTTTATATATACGTATTGATGATGTTGGCTTTAACAATAGAGCTATCATGATTCACAAGCAAGAGGTAAACACAAAAAAACCTGAAAGAACTGTGTAAAGAGCTGTAATCAGAAACAAAAACAGAAATAGCTGGAAAAGTTCAGGAAGGGTCACTTGACCCAAAACATTAACTCTGATTTCTCTCCAGAGATGATGTCAGACCTGCAGAGCTTTTCCAGTGATTTCTGTTTTTGTTTCTGATAAACACAAGAACTCAACTGACTCTCCCCTGTATGATGGGCAGGGGAGAGTTGTCCACTAGGCCGTTTTCCTTATCTACATATTTCCCTTGGAATTTTGCCCTTTCCAATTTGCATATCTGATGTCTATTTCAAACATTTGCTCCATTTTGCATCTGGGTACTTAATACTTTTCCGAAAGTAAATTTCATGACTTGGTGTCCTGGTCCAAACCATCCTTTCCAGTATCAGGTTTGAACAGGTTTCTGTAATGGTCCTTAGCTTCAACCTTGACGTCCTCATACATCACATCTTTTGAGATTACTGTTGGTACTGTTAATATTGCCTGACATCTTTGATTGTTATAAACCTCTACTGGGTTTTGCAGCAGCAATAATACAACAGGCTGGTTGGTATATGTCCAGGGTAAGGTCCCACAATTTGATACTGATTCAGATGGGATACCTCAAATGATTAAGCTCCCAATGAGGGGTGAACGGTTGCCCTTGGTCATTCACCCACCATCTTGGTTGGTTGTACAAGGCTAATTTTGAAAGGATTTCTTTCACCCAGGCTCAAATTAATTTATATTTTTAAAGGAACCACTTTAGCCAGTCTTTCTTGAATTAAGAAAAATGTTTACTAATTATTAAACAGAAGAAGAAATAGAAATGCAACACATATACTTAGAAATTAAAAGGTGAGAGTAGGGAAAGATAACAGTTAAAAAAAGTCTGAATTGTTCATGAAGAGTGGACAATTGAACATTACAACCATTATTGTGGATGTCACTGGTAGCATCAATATTGGTACTTCAAAAGTTAATTTTGAGATTGTTGGCTTTGTAAATTGATTGAACTCTTTTGTTCTGATTCCTTTCAACAGCGGCTGGCTGGCAGAACTCAGAGTGATATTGAATTTTTTTTAACCTGCAGCTCAGAGGTGTTTAAATAGTTACTTGCTTGCTGCATGCCTCATAGCATACTAGTCCACACACTAAGTTGTCAGAGTATGAACACACACAGACCGAGACTAAACCTCATTTTTAACCCCTGTCCCTATGTGTTTTTGAAAGGGGAAAACACAAATATCTCTCTTGCCCAGACTGACGTCTTTTTTACCATCATGTTCACAGTCTGAGATAATTCCAGGAGATTATATGTTCAGTATGTAGAGCATTTTCTCCCTTTCAAGGTTCTCAGATACCTTGTCAGGTATGATATTCCAGAATCTCTCTCTCCAAGCAGCCATTGAATTTATAACTGCCCTTTTCTTAAAAAAAGAAATACATGTAATTAGAGTTTAAATGTCCATAGGTGATTCAGGGTAATGAACTCAGGTCATGACAATGTGATGTTAACCTTTTCTTTTCCATTGTTTTAGTTGTGCTGTTTTCATGACATAGCGACATAACTTAAAAATGTTCAAGAAATGGACTGAATATCCTCTTCTGTACTGTATGATTCTGTGAATTAAAAGTTTGAAGACAATAAAAGGTCCCATCCATTTAACTGTAACAACTGACGAACTTCATTTAAAGGTAATCGGAGAAGCCTCTTTGTAATAAACCAGTCAAATTTGCTTCCATTTTCTCCAGACATTCTTATTATTTCTGTGAAATAAATCTTCAAATTAGTGTCAAATCTGGAGCAGTTTTGCAGTTAGACCTGTGCCCAGTAAAAATATGGGTCAAGAACCAAAACTATTCTAGTCAGTGGGGCAGCGAAAGTGACTTTTCATCAATACTGACTAGAATTGACTATCGTCAGAGTTGAAAGCATCGCATTCAATCATCAAACGCCCTCAGTACCACCTTTCTAAAGGAATCCATTTCTGTACCTGATCAAAAAACTTGTTCCAAAAACAAGCAACCTTGGGAAATGCCTAGAAATTTTAACAATGTGAAAGTTGATATGGAAGTTATGGATTTGATCTAATTTGCTGACTGACTATACTAATTCAAGATTGTTGCTTTTTTACCATGCAAAGGTTCAGAAAATCAGTCAGTTCTAAAATAGCTAAAGAGATCTAAAGATACGGAATCACGAAGCCTAACAGATAGTAGCACAGGTCAA